CACCGGTATAAAATTAATCTTGCACTGGGAACTGTTGAATAATATTGAATTCTGTGGTAAGTTTCTCTCATGCCGTTTGTCCCGCTTTCTCTCATTCCCTTTTTATATTGATTCCCCTTCCCACCACCCCAACCCCCCCCCCCCCCCTACAGTCTTCTCCATTGCATTCATTTCTTCTCTTTCTCTCTTCTTCAATTAATTATCTTTTTCTCCCTATCCTGTGAGCAAACTGGAGGGAAGAACAGGGTGAACTGGGGTGAGGAGAAGTCCATATTCGTTTTCAACATGCAAAAAAGGTTGTGTTTTTTTTCTTCTTGCAATTTTCTTTACATTCTGATGGTACTCCCTAGAAGACTATTCTTTCTTCTATTTTCATATAATAAACAAGGAAAATACACAATAATTTATTTCAGGTTAAGGATTTGGAACAAAAGATAATTGAAATATATATTCAGAGTTGAAAAAGTAAAAGAAAAACAAAATATGTGCTGTTTTTTAACTATTTTATAAATAGTCTGGAATATTTTAATTTTAATTTTATATGGAATAGTCTATTTGAATCATCATGTTTGTTGAAACAAATGGTAAAGATTTCAAGCACTTCATTACACAGATATCATAAACAATTTGGCAATTCCGAAATTCCAATACAGTACATGGGTGATGAATACAATTCAAAAATTCATACATTTCCAATTTGTCCAATTTTTTCCAAACTTTTACCAATATGCTCCTTTGGTATTTAATAATAATAATAATAGTTCACATTTAAAATGCGCCTAATACTTTGTTTCTAGGCGCAGCACATATTATTACCCCGGTCATCAGATCAGGCTTATCCGCAACACAATTTATGCTCATTTTCCACTCCCTGGGGAGCATTCCAGCCAGTTGCCATTTTACAAGCGCCACTTGCTAATCCAACCACATTAACTTTCGCATTCTACTGGGTACCCATTTAACACCTGGGTGGAGAGTGGCAAATGTAGATCAATGCCTTGCCAAAGGACATAAAGTGCCACGGCGGGACTTGAACCGCAGACCTTGTGATCCACAGTCCAGTGACATATCCATTGACCACGACACCTCTAGAGCAGCCTGCTACTAAAGGGAAGGGCCACCCTGATATTAAGTTGGTTTTAATAGGCGGGGGAGAATGAGAGAAACAAATTAGTGAAAATTTGAGCAATAGCCGATTAAAAATAGGAAAATCATGGATTGTTTAAGGTGCAATCAATTTAACACAAATTGACAACTGCATTTCCCCTTTAAGATTGGATTAAGACAACATGCCCCCCATGCCCAATCAAAGTTGATGAGATCATGTTTAAAAATCCTAACTTCCTTAACCTTCTTATCTCATCAGATTTTCTTTCACTTTATCACACTGTATTTTCTTAAATATCATCATAACTTATATGTAATATTGGGTTGCACTTCCCTTTTTATGTTTTTAAGTATCCTTTTCACTAAGGACAGCCATCTTAGAAAAATCTCAAATATCCAATACTACAGACCCTCCCTCTGCATCATGTAAAAAAATCTAGATCAGAGACCAGGAATTAATTTCAATTTGCCTGAGTCCTGACCCCTTTTTTTTTCCTTGGAGGGGGAGGGGGGAGTCTGTAATTAGGAGAAAACTGATAACTAAATAACTCTATCAAATGAGAATAGCCACTGATCTTACAAAAATTTACACTTTGGGAATTTGGGATCATAATAAGTGTGAAAATCATTTTTTTCAAAAAAGCTCAAATCTGGATTTTCAAGATTCCTGGAATTGTAAGAATAGTAACATATCTTAGTTTCTCTCGCTCTCTCTATGTCTCTCTATTTCTCTCGCAGTTGAAATATATATTCAGAGTTGAAAAAGTAAAAGAAAAACAAAATATGTGCCGTGTCTCCCCCCCCCCCCTTTCTCTCTCTCTCTCTCTCTTCATCCCTTCCTCCCTCCCTCTCTCTTCTCTTTTCTCTTTCCTCTCCCCTCTCTCTCTTTCTCCCCCTCCTCTCCCTCCCCCCCCCCTCTCTCTCTCTCACACTCTCTCTTCCTCTCTCTCTTTCTATCTCTCTTTCTATCTCTCTACCTGAACAATTTATTCCATTTACAAAGGTCTAAATGGCATGATTGTGATGATAACAAAGAGAAGATTGAAGGCAGATTTTTATTTCATTGACAAAGCATTATAAAGCGCTGGTTTTCAATGGCAAGCTTGAATAATTTGCATTCAACAAAGAAGGGGAAAATCTCATTCAGACTTCAATAATAACCTCTTGAATTTGAAGGCAGTAGGGGAGCAATGAAGCGATTGTAATGCTACCAAAGAACAAACACATATATGCGTGTGAAAATCAGGGCCAGAATATTAAATCAGATTCCAATTGCAGTTAAGGAGCTTGAAAAATCACTATTCAGTGCGACCCAGAAAAAACGAAACCAAGAATTATTGATGTTTTATCATAACTTAATCACAATTATAATTAAAAAATGACACATATTTGAAAAGCTTAGATCCTCCTCTTTCATTTCATGCAACTCATATGATGCATATTTCACGCATGAGTGATTACAAATTATTTGAAGGAAGGAAACCAAAAAGTCCTTTGGCGGGCGGTATCTGAATTTCAAAGAAAAACTCACATTTCTAGAAAAGTTCAGTTTCTGCCCTTTCCTACGACACCTCAATCAGGAAAAATGAGCAAGGGATAACAAAGTTCTGTTTGTCTAAAATGATGCTTGCATTTCCATAATTTGATTTAAAAAGTTAGTTTTCACTGGCTGCCTGCCTTAAGGCCCGGTCACACAGGGAGGACGCATGGGGAACGCACGGCCAGCGCATTGGAAATTTGCAATTTGGGCCAGTGCGTTGTCGTTCGCTAGGCGTGCGTCATCATTCGTTACTCGTTCGTCGAGCGCGCTGGACCAACGCTGGACCAGCGCTATGCATGCGTCGTCATTCGCTGTGTGCGTCGGGATTTTTTGAGCATGCTCAAAAACGTGCGCCGAGCTCGACGCATGAATATACACGCCAAAGGCACGCCAGACATGCGCCGGAGCACGCTAGACCAGCGCCAGACATGCGTGGAGCGCGCTAGACCAGCGCCAGACAAACGCGGAGCACACGCCCTGTATACGCACAGCGCGCTAGCTACACGCCGTGCATTTTGTGTCAGCTCGCTAGCTTTTCCAAAATTATGACAAAAGTTAGGCACACGTTCTTTTCCGATTTCCAATGCGCTGGCCGTGCGTCGTAGAACGCGGTGCATGCGTGGACCATTCGTCCAGCGCGCTAGCAACACGCTGTGCATTCGTGGAAGTTGTTTTCATGTGCGCTCTGTGTGCGCCCTGTGTGCGCCCTGTGTGCGCCCTGTGTGCGCCCTGTGTGCGCCCTGTATACGCCCTATATGCGTCCAGCGCGCTATGCATTTGGTGTCAGCTAGCTGTATAGCTTCGACAAAAGTTTGGCGCACGACAACGCACTGGCCAAAATTGCAAATTTTCCATGCGCCGGCCGTGCGTCCCCCATGCGTCCCCTCTGTGTGACCGGGCCTTTAGCAACAAGCAGAATTGACAAAAGACTTTAGCTAAACCCAGGGGTTCCGAACTCTGTTTCATTGACAATCAGCCATGCATGAAGTCTTTCGTCAATATTCGATCGTCAACGAAACAGAGTTCGGAACCCCTGGGTTTAGCTTAACTGCCTATGGTCAGGGTTACTATAGGTCACTTTCCAGCAAGCATGGATCTCTGGAGTCTGTTAGACTCTGACCTGTGTCCATGTGGTCAAATTCAGATTGTTGAGCCTGTTCTGAAAGAGTGTGTTGTAGCAGGACCCCCATGTACCCTCACTGATATTGACAACCCACAAGCAGTGTAATTTTCAAACAAAATTATGGGGTATGGGTGACATACAAAATTACAATAATACCCCCAGAAACTTTAGGTTGAGCACTGCTTTCTGGATGCAAGATGTTACAGGATCACATGTGTAACAAAAAAGTAGAATCAATATAGATGGCTAACAATTATGATGGTCATGTTTATTGTCTGTCGAAAAGCAAATGAAATTTGTAGTCTTTACATTTACTTCCCTCCTCCTCCTCTTTCTCCTCCTCCTCCTCCTCCTCCTCCTCCTCCTCCTCCTCCTCCTCCTCCTCCTCCTTCTTCTTCTTGTTGTTCTTCTTCTTGTTTTTCTTCTCCTTCTTCTTTTTCACGTCCTCCTCATCTTTCTCCTCCTCCTTCTTCTCCTCCTTTTTCTTCTTCTTCTTCTTCTCATCCTTCTTTTTCTCGTCCTCCTCCTCATCTTTCTCCTCCTCCTTCTTCTTCTCTTTCTCCTTCTCCTTCTTCTCCTTCTCCTCCTCCTCCTCCTCCTCCTCCTCCTCCTCCTCCTTCTTCTTCTTCTTGTTCTTCTTGTTGTTTTTCTTCTCCTCCTTCTTCTTTTTCTCCTCATCTTTCTCCTCATCCTTCTCCTCCTTCTTCTTCTCCTTCTTCTTCTTCTTCTTCTTCTTCTTCTTCTTCTTCTTCTTCTTCTTCTTCTTCTTCTTCTTCTTCTCATCCTCCTCCTCCTTCTTCTTCTTCTTCTTCTTCTTCTTCTTCTTCTTCTTCTTCTTCTTCTTCTTCTTCTTCTTCTTCTTCTTCTTCTTCTTCTTCTTCTTCTCTCAGTACAGACCCACCTTGGCGTTTTATCGTACAGTGTGCTACTAAGCAAGTAAAAAGACTCCACAAGAACTCGGTCAGCTCAGTCCACTTCTAAATAAACAGTGTAGACTACTTTGGCGGGGTATTGTAAAGTTAAGCACCACATTAATATCTGACACTATCAATTATCCCTGCGAGTATATTACATAGGTTATCAGCAAACTTTACAACACTGTCTAGAAAGAAAAAACACAGAGCGTGACTGAACGGAATTCCGGAATAGCCTTTGCTTAAATTTCACACCGCCACCACCACCGGCAGTCACTCTCACTGCGATTCGATGCCAAGCTTTTCTTCCACTTACCGTTCATGAAGCGTGGGAAACCGAGCAGAAACTGCAGAAACAGCACGGCATAACACTTTTCCATCCTGTTCATTCACCTGGGTCACCGATATGTCCTATCTGTAGCTCATAACACCGATAGGCAACTCATATCCTTCTTCTTTCTTAAGAAAACGCATTATGAATAAATTAGGTGCATTTACTTCCTTGTTGAGAAACCTCACGTCAAGACCGCATATATTTGCACAAACCATAACCTATATATAAACAGTAGCACAGGGGGTTCAAATAGGGACTGTCCGGGTTAGTAGTGTGAGAAGATTTTGGTGTACACAGTGCATGAGAAGGTGATGTATTTTATATAGTGTACAATGATAATCGTGCACTACGTAGCATAAATGTGTTTTTGAATCCGTAATATAGGCCCTAATATTCGTTGATTCCCATTTTTAGAAATACGTATACACAGTATCTTTCTGATTGTTCGGCCTTAACTTTAAATGAAGGAGAATCGGCAATGAAATGATTAGTAACTCACTGGGTAACTCATTAATTAAATCTCTTTTCAATAGGTTCGCGCTACGAGAATGTATGTTTATCGATGAGCATTGACCTTTAATCGTGGAGTCGTGGTTCAGCCCTTCAGCTGATGGGTTTGTTCCAATCAATTTGATAACAACCTTTTGGTTTTTTTTCAATACATATGTAATTATTATAACTTATTAAGCTATCTTCATACCAAACGAAATTTATGATTCCAACATACAAGAAGGCAATGTTTATTACCTTAATTCAACTTTTAAATTCAATTTATTTACTCCCTAAAACCACATAAAATACAAATACAAGTAAAAAAAAATACAATAATATAAAATTATAAACCCCTAAATTGGCAATAAATACAAGTAATAACTTCGTTTTTAAATGAGTTGGGAAAAAAATAATGAAAAGTTAACAATCCCTACAATTAAACAAGAATATTATAAGTTACTAATTTACCCTCTAAAAATCGAGGGCCGGGGAAAATACAATACAACCCAACTATAGGTGTTTGGCACAAAATACAGCTTACACATGAAAAAGTAAATAGAGAAAGGGAATGAGAGAAGGACAAGGAAGTGCAAGAACGAAAGAGAGAGAGCGAGATGAGAAGAAGATATGCAGAGAGCGGGCAAGAGAGAACATAGACTCGAAAATGACATTTTTCAGAAAGATATTCCAAACGGCCAGGAGAAACATAAAACGGGTATACAGTTTCTATTGCTGTTATTATATAGAAAGTACCCTTTCCTGTGTTTGTTTTACCAAGTATCTAGTTCCTGTGATATGCGAATCTTGTGATTTGTTATCATCATAAAAAAAGCTACAGCCCGCAGTGTGTGTGTAATTTATGTATGCCTTTATACCCGTTGTTCTTCCACCTGGCTGTTTATAATATCTTTCTGAAAAATTGCATGATATAAAGTCAGTGGTACATAATTTCTCAGTCGGGCCTAATCTGACATCATTTCCGATGTTGACGTTGATATTTTTCTGAAGTTATTCATGTTGGCTCGCTGTAATTCCTGTCTTCTTCATCTTTGTCAAAATATATTCTAGTAATCATAAATCTTTCCCCATGAAATCGCAATGCCGTTCCATCATCATCACCTGTGAAAATCACGTATGGTTATATTAATAATAAATCATGAGAAACAATATAATGTACTTAATTTCTAAGATACTGTTTGGTGTTCTTTGTCTTGATAGAGAGAGCGCGATGGCTTAGTGGTATAGGGTAGTAGTTTCGTGACCGGGAGGTCTCAGGTTCGAAACCGGGTCGAAGCGCTATAGTGCCCTTCAGTAAGGCATTAATGCTCCTATACCAATTAGTCTCTCGGAGAGGACCTACGCAACAGCCGATCCTTTGGTTGGTTGCTTACTACCAATCAACCAAAATACGCTTTCTTCGGCAGTCAGGTTAAACAAAGAAACAAACACTTCCTGAAATCACATAGATTGAAACGATTTTTCTCGTTATAGGACTCTCCCCCTCTCTCTCTCTCTCTCTCTCTCTCTCTCTCTCTCTCTCTCTCTTCGCCTTCGCTCCCTTTATCTTTTCCTCTCTCTGTAATGCAGGCGCGGATGGACGGGGGGGGCGGACGGGCCCGGCAGCCCCCCCCCCCCTCTTAAAAAAGGGGAAAGGGAATGGAGAAGGGATAAGGGAAGAAAGGAGGGCTAAAAATACGAATTAGAAGTGGACCCAAGGCACTCACTTATCCGTATATAGGTCAAGGCCAGCGGTCGGCCGTGCAATTCTCCGAGATACCCAAGTACAACTGAATTCGGACAAGGACATGATACAACGAATCATCTTCTTTCCCTAATAATTTAATGAAACGTGAAAGGTTCCGCGCTTCGCGCGGGATGGGCGAAAATTAGTTCAGACAAGGTTTAAGAGTAATGATTTATTGAAACGTCAAAGCTCTCGCGCTTCGCGCGGGAGGGGGGGGGGGGGGACTGAATTCAGACATGCATTAAGAGTCGAGAACGGTACAATGAATCGTCTTCTTTCTCTAATAATTAAATGAAACGTCAAAGCTTCCGTAAACATTTCGTAGACATTGGGACATTGGCAGTAATATATTTGTCGGTAATTGGTGGCTCGTTTTGTCGGTAATCGGTGGCCTCTACACCCCCCCCCCCCCCCGACCCCTCGCCCAACAAAAAAAAGGTCTACCGACGCCCCTGATAACAACACAGTTTATACACTCGAGATAATTTTTGAAAGTACTACTGGTGAAGTACCGGTCCACCGTCTTTGTGCATTGTGCAGCAACGAAGCATATACAACGTCTCACGACGTGACAAATCACTTTTTTCTAACTTCTATTTTCTAACCAATCAGAAAGCCTCGTTTTTTCCAGGAAGTGCCGGTGGACACTGATGTGCCAAAATAATGTGGTTCTCAAATTGCAAAAGATCACTACTCTTGGAGGGGGTAGGAGAAAGCAATTTTACGTCATTTTACTCCAGGAAGTGCCTGAAAATGCGTCTAATGTGGTTCTAAAATTACAAATGCTTCCTACTCACCCCCGCTTGGTCGCTCCGCTCCCTCGCCGCTAAAGCCTCGCTCTGTCGCTATATCGTTTATATTTCACTCCATGCCATTTTGTGCCCCCCCCCCCGTAAGAAATTTCTGGATCCGCCACTGATGCCCATACCCCTTGAGCTTCGGGGGCTCCGCCCCTTGACCCCCGCCGGTGCTTTGCCCCTAGATCCCACTTTGAAACACGTTCAGCGGGGCCTGTATATAAGAGTGGGGTGATGCGGATTTTTTTTTTGTCAGTCCCCCCCCCCCTTCCCCCCCCCCCTTCCCCCCCCCCCCAAAAAAAAAGTTTTTGCTCACTACGCCACTGTTGAGGCATACACATACACATTACATACTCCGTGGTAAGAAGGAAGTAAACGACGAGGGAAAAGATAGGTAATGACAAGAGAGAGAGAGAGGGGGGGGGGGGGGGGGGGGGGGGGGAGGGGGGGGGAGCATAGCCCGGGTTCAAATTCAATATGGGACTGCCGTTTATTGTCATCAAATATTGTTCAAATTAATAGCATTGTAGAGACGATGAACAAATAAGAATAATAATGCAAGGTCGTTAGTCAAGAAAATGTCAACTTTCTCAGCGGAATCCACTGAAATTGTTTAACAACAATTGAAACTGTTCCATTTGATTTTCTCCCCATTCAAATAGCCTTGTAAAGGCGGTGAAAGAAATAAGAATAAGAATAATGATAATTCGTCGTTAATGGTGAGAATGTTCAGTTCTTTCGCTCTCAGCTAATGACTGCGAGCAGTGGACTCAACCAAGCGCAATCATTATTGTCAAACGAATTTGTCATGAGTCCTGAAACTTGTTATAACTGCATGCCATAGAGGTATTAAATTTAATTTGATTTGATTCGATTCGGTGTATTGCAATAAAAGACCATGCAGCTGGGAAGCTTAGATTGTTCAATTTACAAAGTCAATGTACAACACAATCAACGATCAAAATATGAATGACTAAAACGTACGACCATAAATCATGCATTTTAATGAAACAAAATGAAACTCAAATATTACATCAAAATCTAAATATATTACAAATATTAAAAAAACGTTAAAACACATCTGTGTCATCAAAGGTTACAAAAAGGGATAAAGAGAGAGAGAGAGAGAGAGAGAGACGGAACTTGAAGAGGAAAAGGAGGAAGAAGAAGAAAGAAAGAAAAGTTGATCAGAGAATATACGACAGACGGAGGAGAGGGGTAGAGAAGGACAGAGTAAAAAAAAAAGTAGAAAGAAAGGAGAATGGTACAGTCTTGAGGTATGTTTTCATTCAAAACAGGAAAAAGAGAATGTGAGTCTCTGCCAAGTGCACCAGAAGTTGAAGTATGATTTTAAAAAATAAAAAACAAACAGTTTGAATGTATACTAATATTAACGTCATTTTAAGAATTCGTTAAAGTCAAAAGATTTACAAGATTTCAAGATTTATTCATTCCATTCAATAAAACACATATATGTATATAAAAGATAACACAAGTGTAAGAAAAAAAATACAAGTTATACAAACATCAGAAGGTCACTGATCAGTACATTTAAAGGTAAAGAAATCAAATGGAATTTGGGTCACTGCAAAAGTTCAAATACATTTGAACTTGTCGAGGCTGTGCCAAAGGTTTGAATTAGAATATTTTTGCAATAGATAACTATGTACATAAATAATTTACTGGACAATAACAAAACAATACAAAACGAAACAAATATATATATATATATATAAGTGAAGAAGGAACAAATAAAAAAACAAAAAAAATGAAATTCTTTGTATCACATAAAATAGTATACAGGGGTTATGTACTCGCTAATAAATAAGATTTGAGTTTCCTTTTAATCCATTAAAATTTCTAGTTTGACATATTTCCTGAGGGAGTGCATTCCAGACAAGAGGTGCAGTATGTTTAAAAGAAAAGGACACAAAGTTTGTTGTACATTTGAATATATGAAATTTCTCCCTATGACGAGTGTTATAGCTATGGATTTCATTGTTAAGAGTTAATAGCACTTGCAGATTTTCAGGCAGTGATGTGTAAACATATTTAAAGAGCATTCAGCCTATTAAATACTTATTAAGCTGATATATATTTTGCTTGTTTGTAATGATAATGTACCCTCTGTCTGTTTTACAATTGTACTTCGTTATCTTTATGATGTAATCGCAGACAC